GCTGTAACATGCTGTAGCATGCTGTAACATGCTGTAACACGCTGTAGCACGCTGTAACACGCTGTAACACACTGCAGCAGGAACATGGCTCAGATGGTAAGCTACTCAGAGACGCACTGCAGCAGGAACAGCAGCAGGTGTTTCTTACTCACGTGTACAGTCAGCGTGTGCAACTTCAGCATCTAACCTTCACTAGTGGTTTGTCTGCTCGAGGATAGGCCGCATCCATCGTTACAGGAAACACTGACCCAGAGCACCAACGCATTCCCACAGTCCCTCTCTCCTCTCTGCACTCACCCTGCGGGCCTCCTGCTGGTATTTGGCAGCCTTCTTGGTGTCGGCCACGGCTCTCTCTACAAAGCCCACCGACTGGTCCATGTTGCTTTCGATTCTGTCAATCATCCCACCCTAGCAGGGCACAACACGAGAGACAACACAAAGTTAATGAAAGTAAGATTTGTGCCTGTCTGCTGTTTACACAGGAAGTGGGAGCGTACCCCACTGTGTCAGAAACACATGACTTTTCCTATCGGCTGCACACTGAAGCTTCAGTCATGAAAGGGCTTAGTCACAGTTGAACAAGCTCTGTGCAAGATGGGCTTTTTGGGGAAACAGGGCGAGTTACTGTTGAAAAACTTTAAAAGAATAACTTGTGCTGTGCACGACTCTATGTAGAATTAAACAGGGCTACTGTTCAGTTTCACAAACCATGCAAGTCAGCAGAGAGTGGAAGAAGGAGAAGCAAGCCTGCATGTTTTATAACACGGTAAAATGGAAGAAGTGCAGCTCAGAGGGTGAGAATAGTTTGTTAATCGAGAACTGTGAATGCTCGAGAACACTTTGGGCTGCAGGATCTCACAAACCTGGTTCTCAACCAGCATGGCAATATCAACAAACATGTCGTGGAGTTCTTTAATGCTGCTCTCCAGCCTCATGATGTCTTTGTGACGAGCCTCGATCTCATTCAGGGCCTGCTGGTTGATCTTAGAGTCCATGATCTGTGGGGGAGGGAGTGTGAGGTGACCAGAGACACACAACTTAAAAGAATACACCACAAACAAGTGGATGTTGACAAACAGAGGGTCTGCTAGTGCCAAACTACAGGTTAAAACAAATCACATCTGCCTGTAAGTCCAGCTAACATCTCCCAGTTTGCTGTAATGACACTAAATAGTAAGAAACGTGCCTACATAACAAACACACACCGAGACAAATCACTGCATTTGAAAAGCCGAGAATTTAATGGAGACATGTTGATGAGGAATGACTGCACTGCCTATCAAATACATAACAATTTGTTTTCTGTTGATTAGCTGACTTAATTATTTCTCCTTATAATTAAAAAAGTTGTGAAATGAAAGTTGTGCTGACCCGTGTGCTAGAACAGTCTACAGCTCCAAATCACAACAAAAGTCACCTCAAGGTGCTTTAAAGTAGATCCCTACAGACAGAAAACTGCCACAGTCATGTGACCCCTATGAGCAGCACTTGGCGACAGTGGGAAGGAAAAACTCCCTTTTAACAGGAAGAAACCTCCAGCAGAACCAGGCTCAAGGAGGGGCGGGGACATTTCCCTGACAAGTTTTCATGTAACACACAGAGAGAATTCATATGGAGATGTCATTAAATGACAGTGGAGCAGAGATCACAGTGACACCGTCAAACACAAACCAGCAGGACAATAGTTCCTGGTTTATAACAGCCTCTGCGCTCCACAACCCACTAAGAGTTCGTGCCTCTGGCCAAAGACGCTGGTTTGCTGCAGGTGTTTGTGTGTGCATGCATGCAGGCTTACCCCTGCTGTGAAGACTGCAGAGTTTCCTCCCTCCAGCATCTCATCCAACTCCTCATCAGTCGTTGTTTTTCCAGCTGAACAGATCACAGAGACAAGAACTTGTTCATGCACCAGCCAGTAGAAACATGACTGTACACACAACAGCATGTGATTACACTGAGAATACTACGAGGTGCCTGTTGTATTAATACTCTGATTGATGTAAAAGGTGGTTGTTAACCTTTAGGGCTGACGTGGTGACAGTAAAACCATAAAAACACCACGTTGGCTATTTTTATGGTAAATGGTAAATGGCCTGTATTTATACAGCGCTTTTATTAGTCCCTAAGGACCCCAAAGCGCTTTACATGTCCAGTCATCCACCCATTCACACACACGGCTCTTTCTGTCAGATATTTGTCATTTTATTTAAAAACTAAAACATGTATCTGAGCACAGTACACAACAATAAGTTGGCACATGAATATGTTTAAAGCGTAGCAGCTGTCAGTGCTTAAAGAAAGTCGAATTCTCTTTAGTCTGACAGCCTGAACCTGATAAAACCTACGATAGAGGACAGGAGTGTTAGCACTGTGACTAAGGTCCAGGGGAACGACCGTGAGGTTTTAAGGGGCATTTAGATCATTTATGCTGTGAATCTCTTCACATATTGTAAAAAAAAAAGGGAAATATAAAGGATCCCGAAGCTGTGGTTTCCTCCACATCAAGCTTAAACGTAACCATATCATCAGCAGCTGGCACTCACTGATCTCCAGCTGGCGGGCGATCCGTCCCTTGCTCTTGTCTCTGAAGTCCACCTGAGCCTCGTTGTACTTTGTCATCACCTCTACAAACTTTTTGGCCAGAATGGCGTGCTGGGGGAGACAAGAACACAGACACTCCAATGGCAGGCTCTCACACACACGGTGGGCGAGCTTCACAGTCGAGCCTGAGGACAGAGGACTGCACCGGCACTGAATGTAAAAGGATGTGTGTGTGTGCAGCCTGCTACACTCGGTGGATCTGAACGTGACGTGTGGATGTTTTAGGCATCACAAGAGAAACAGCAGCGTGCTCCGCTCTGTCTGTGTGGTCGGGTGAATCAGAGCTACTGTACGACTGCCTGACCTGTGACTTGCGTATCCTGAGGTCGGCCGAGGCCCTCTCGTCGGCGTTTGACTCCAGCTGGCGCTCGATACCTGACACACACACGGACAATGTTCACCACTGCTTTTACTCACACATGTAAACAACACATTAGGCGTGCCACAGAGACACATTCTGATCACACGTATGTTTGTACAAACGGGAACCAGACAGTGTGCCGGAGAAGGAAACCAAACCAATACCAACTCTTCAGTTTGTTTCTTGCGTTGTTGGCCGACTTTTTAATCTCATTGGTGAGAGCCTCGACATCATCCTGTGTTTCTGCAAGAGGTGGAAATGGAGCGTCACGCACACACACTGAGAATCACAGGCAGCACATTTGAACACGTTATCTGCATTACTCTGGTCGGAGGTCGGGGCAGACAGGATGGTGGAGTAGAGTTTTTTGATTTCTGTAACACTCTCGTCAATCTTGTCAATACTGCTGCGGATGTCTTCAATCTGAAAGACGCACACACACACACACACACACACGCACGGAGGCATCAAAGAGTAGAAATGCATTTTGTGTTATGATGCATGTAAAGTGGAGCAGACAGACACACTGCATACCTGAGCAAAGAAATCATCCATGAAAGCCTCACTCTCCACAGGAACCTCAATATCATCACCACCTGCATCGCTCTTCTGTCACACACACACACACACACACACACACACACACACACACACACACACACACACACACACACACATACAGCTACATAAATGGCATTAACTGACGTTTTCTGTCTCTGTGATAAGACAAGAACATTTGTA